ACACCAAATTCAAATCCACATTTCAATCAAGGCTCACGTTTGTAACGCTGGAAGAGCATTAAGTGAATATCACATTCGTACAAATATGCAAGTGAATTCACCAAAATTCCAAATAAGTATTTCATAGCAAACATATATGCCCAAAACTCCAAATACGCATACTGTAGCCAACATATATGCCAAACTTCGAAATTGTCATTATAAAACTCGGTGTTATACATTGAACTTGTATTTCATTGCTCCACTGCACTAGTCTAACACATTCACTTCTTCTGCTTCTAAAAGTCACTAAGCTGAGGAACAATGAGGGGGAGTGTTATCGTGTACTTTTATTTTTACTTCCCACCAGTGCTCGGGGCCAATGATTCTACCGATTTTCGACTGGTATTGAATGCAACTGGATTTTAGCAGCTCGAAGAGATGCTTGTGGTCCGTTCGCAGTTTACCCCAATAATTCTTAAGCTGAGATACGGTCCAGTCCGTCCCAGCTATGCTATTGAACAACTCATGGATACGTATCCAGCCCGTAGTTGAAAAGCATTTGCCGTGTCGATGCCCTTCGGCAATGACAATTTCGCATACTTCAATGAAGATTCTATGCTCCATCGGGTCCCATCTTGCAGTCTTACGGACCACAGGCTGAGGCTCCTGCGGGTTCTATGATGGATAGTCAAACCGGTCAAGCGAGCCCACACTATAGTGTGGTAAACAGAAAAATTGCAACGTCTCAGACAGGAAGATATGCGGCTCTTTATATCTGAAATCGAAGTGGTGGCAGCTTACTGCCATTTTTTTAACCAAAATAATGCACACCAAACAACAAAGTCTCTAACCTCAAAACAGAAAATATACTGAACAATTCGATCAACAATATGGCTAGAATCAATTACGCAACCCTAACACAAATTCTGGATAAACAAGCAAACTACTGTTGAAAACGGGTATTACAAAAATTAAAAATACGAAAATAACTACAAAGGTCGGAAGCAATTTCACGGTTAATTTGAACAAAATGTTGGAAGAGGGCACGCTTCGACACACGGGCAGAAGAAATCGGACCAAACGAACATGTGAACGAAGGAAAATGAGGGATAAAATTGCTCACCATGTGATCAGGATAATAGAACCCATGACCATGAGATCCGTCGTTCGTCATTTCCAAGGTGTTCCCCTCGTTGCTGCGATGGTCGGAGGAAAAACTGACGCTCGGACAAAGATTGAGGTCAATGCCAAGTTCAGTGAAGAGGAGGTGGAGGGAGGCGATGTCAGGCACGGATTGTAGAAATATGATCGGAAAATACGAATCCAAATGGTCGACTGTGGAAACCAATCTACTGGAGGGAGAGCCAAAGGGGAAAGTCGCAAGTGACTATGAGAGACGGAAGTACTACCGGGTTAATACTTTGGAGGGCAGTGAAGTAAATGTCTTCGACCAGCTGAGGGCAATTTTGTCCAATAATTGCGACGGCAGTCTGAATACTTTTAACATGTCTGACACGGTTTTAAATGGCTGGCAGGTTTTCTCTGAATATACACTGTAAAAGAATGAGATAAGGGAGAAAAAATTGGCAAGAATGAGCATCAAACAGGTGCAATGATTTAAGATGTTAATTTCTTTTTTGTCTTTTGGGATGCTATGCTGGGAGTTTAAACCAAGATAATGAACCTAGAAATTTAACATTTTTTTTTATGACCGTGAGTGTCGGAGCCAGCTTACGCACACCTCCACTAATCCCACACGGTCCTGAAGTTTACAGCCGGGTACTCACCTCAGTGGCCTAAGGGGACTCGAGTTGGTAACTACTAGAGAGAAATTTAGCTTTTTTTTTAGTTTCAAGATAAATATTGCATAAAACAAGGAATGATTTGCAAAATATAAAAAGGCTGGAAAAAAGATTATTATTGTTCATAAATCATAATGGCACATATGAGGAACCAGGGACTGGCTTTTTTTTTTTTGGGGTGGGGGGGTAGATGATAGAATCCCAGTTGCTGTAGCTTAATTGATGGATTCCTTCATTGGCAATAAATAGTATATAAGATGATTAATTGAACTTCAAAATAATAAACAAGTTCCAGGGCTACTAGAGAGGCCCGGTCTCTCCTATTTCCCTAACAAAGTGTATGGATGATCCATTCTACTCCTTCCCTAATACATTTATACCACTATTTCCCCCCTTATTTCCCAAATTACCCCTTATAACTAACTCGAATTGGAACACTCTAGAATATGGCTTAACAAACATGAATGAATAACTTGGGGGTCTATGGCAATTAGGGCTCCACACACGTCTCTGCCCATTGCACAGTGGCAATATTGCCCATTGACACGGAGGCTACCCGTTCCTGGGTTTGCATCTCTGCAAATTATGGCCCGGGGACTATCTCTCCTATTTCCCTTAACAAAGTGTATGGATGATCCATTCTACTCCTTTCCTAATACATTTATACCACTATTTCCCCCCTTATTTCCCAAATTACCCCTTATAACTAACTCGAATTGGAACACTCTAGAATATGGCTTAACAAACATGAATGAATAACTTGGGGGTCTATCATTACTCGCCCCCCTAAATCCACCTTGTCCTCAAGGTGGAAGTTTATGAATTCATCATACAACCACATAATTTCCTTTGCAAAAACTCCTGTCACGATCACAGCAGAAACGGGATGTTTTCGCCCTTTGAAATGGACAGACTCACTCAATCGAGCGATTATCATAAGTATAGCATCCAAGGCAACTCCATATCCCATTGCCTCTACCCACAAAATGTCTAATTTTTTAACACGATGAGCCGTCACGAAATTGGTTACTTGGTGAATTGAATACGCTATCTGGGAAGATAACTTGGGTAGGTTAGGATTGCTATTTAGGTTGAAATTATGGGGACTTATGCTTGGGCTGTAGTTGAATTTATATAGGCCTAAAATAGCTTGGAACTTTTTAAAATGCTCTTTAGGGTCTTCAATCCTTAGGGCTAGATCCCGAATTTGCCCAGACAAGGAGGCTTTAGAATCTTCCCTTCTGCCCAATTCTCCGCCCTTAGTCAATTGAGAAAATCAACATCCACTGCCTCCTTTAAAATCATGAAATTTGCCGGTAAGGAAGCTGCCACTACCACAAAGTCTAGAAGTTTATTATCACTTTTGGCGCTAAAAAATAGTCGACTCGTGCCTCTTCCCTTTCTGCAGATATGGCCGCCGTTAAGCCATTCCAATATTCTCACCTCATCTCCTCTCTGCCGATATTCTAGTCCGGGATTCGCCAACACTTCAAACTTGTGCCGATAATCACGGCCCAGTTCATCCTGCCATTGTGACAAGCAATTCTCCCAATTTGAGAACTGATTCCCTACTGTTGATTTTATAGGAGATCGAATAGCTACTGGAGATGATGCTCCTGTTGCTGCATATTGTGTAGGTTGATCTGCTGTGAATTTCTCCCCCTTTCTTCATCATGAAATCAGGTTTCTCCATCAATAGTGACATACCCTTTTGAATCTCAAATTTCATTACCGCAAACTCTGATTGCAGTCCATCCATCCTTATTTCCAAATTAATAACCCAAACTTCTAATTGCCTTTTTTCATCAGATGCAATCCCCCCAGGGCCAAAATAGTTGCTCTGATACCATTTTGATAAAATCCCAATTGTTGTAGCTTAAGTGATGGATTCCTTCGCTGGCAATAAATAGTATATAAGATGATTAATTGAATTTCAAAATAATAGACAAGTTTCAAAGCTATTAGAGAGGCCCGGTCTCTCCTATTTCCTTGAACAAAGTGTGTGGATGATCCATTCTGCTCCTTCCTCTAATACATTTATACTACCGTTTCTCCCCTTATTTCCCAAATTACCCCTTATAACTAACTCGATTTGGAACACTCTAGAATATGGCTTAACAAACATGAATGAATAACTTGGAGGTCTATCAGGGAACTGGGCTAGGCTGTACCTGGCCAGGTTTTTTTTTTTTTTTTTTTTTTTTTTTTTTTTTTTTTTTTTATTTTTTTTTTTTTTAAAATTTTTTTTTTTTTATGTGTAAATTTATTTTTTCTACATATTGGTCCAGCTTGTAGTCCGATCTTGGATCCTTCTCTGTGAGGATCCAAATAATAGTTCAAGATAAATCAAACACTGTATTTCAAGATTTTTCTTTTCTTACATTTTTCATTTGATTGCAATAATGTGGCAAAAGTTGTTCAGGATTAGCGAGAAGCAGAGCATTGTTGATAAAAGAAGAAGAAGAAATTTGACAATTTTGCTTTTCCTATTTCTTCTAAATTCCTTAAGCACAGGTTTCTTAGAACCTACCTATAAAAACTAAACCTACAGAGTACTATTTAAGATACAAACTTCATGGTAAATGAAGGCTAAAATTTTATAATGTTATTCTCCTGTTGAAAATTATAAATATAACACAAGCTTGCATACTTTCCATATTAGAGCACTGGATTTTATAAAAAAAATAAAAATAAATAAAAAAATAAAGAAAGGATAAGTTTTGTAATGCAGTTAAATGTTTTTATCTACAGGGAACAAATTCTAACTGCCTCATTCCTACAATTTCCCAGAAATGAATACATTTTCACTATAAAAATGCCCTCCGTATACAACAATTATAAACTAACGATTAACTCAGTATCGAAAGACATTTTACATTTTCATTTAATGAAGTAAAATGTACAACATTATTAAAGAAAATACTAAGAATATTTCTTTGGTTTAAAAACTATAGATGAAAAGCATTTGGATGTTTGTTAATCTTCCTTGCATGTGCTAAACATCATCTAGATTTAGTTCAATACTGCAGTGGGATAACATTTTATATGCATATATACACTGAAATAGGATTAATAAGGTACCTGAAATTCTAATAAAACCAAAATAATACTATTTACAGTGGAAATAATAGCAAAAAGCAAAACTTTTGAAAAAAAAAATTAATAATAATAATAAACGAATTCTAGGGTTTAAAGAAGCAGGAGTAATGATAATACCAAACTGGAAGGAGGGGAAAGGTGGGGAATCGAGCTGAAGCCACATGTTCTTGCCCTTGCGATGGGAAGCGACGATGGTTTTCCCGGTGAGCGATGCCTCGAAGTCCTTCGGAGAGACGCCGTCGATGACTTTGGAATCATTGGCGACCACCGATTTCACAATTTTCTTCCCAACGCAGTGCTCCTCTATGGCACGACGCGCCGCCTCCACCTCCGGAAGCTCCGGCATTGTCGTCGACGGTGATTGTAAGAACTGTACAGATGCACTTTAGGGAAGAAATGTAAACTGTGCGAATAAGGGATTGTTTGGTTTCGCGCGCTTTTGCTAAATGGGAACCTCTGACAAGTTGGAATTACATTTTTGATTTGATAGCAAATATAAAGCATTGTATTGACTCGAGTCATTCCCGAGTGGACTCGATTAAGGTCAACCGGGCCACCCGTTGCTAGATAAGCAGGTCTGTGGATCGTTTTATTCTTCAAATGAACAATTGTTAAGCCTGCGTTGGGTTTTCATTTTTGTTTTCTATTTTTAGTTTTGAATTTATTTTCTGTTTTTTATTTTGAGTGATTATGTTCAGATTGTAAAAAACACGTTTGATTTGTCATTCTGAATGTCTGTTTCTCAAAACAAAAACTAGAAAACTTGTTTGATTTAAAAATTTTAGAAATAATTTTATGACATTTTATTCGATTAATTTGATTATTAATTAAACATATCGATTTTATGGTAATATGTGATTAAAGAATATAAATATAAATATTTATAACTAAAAAAACAAAAAATCATTGCATGTATATCTCCAACAATCACGTTGAAAATATAGCCTTTACACACCGTGTTCAATATATTTCAATTTATGGCAGTTTTTCCTTATAATGAAGTACTTTTATTCCCCTCTCACTCATTTACCCCAGCCTCCAATGTCACAAAATCAAAATTAATAGCTAAATTAGCAATTGAAAACATTGTCCTTATAATTGAAAGTGGTGTAAAGAGTTTCAAATTTACTTCCTCAAGCAAAAACAATGGCTTCCTTAGTATATTTAAGAGCCTTCACTAAAAGTCACATTTATGACCTTCATCATCAAATTGTCTAATTAAAATTAGGTTATGGATCGGTTTGTTGGAAGAATTTTGTGAATAGTGACGCAGAAATAAGTATAATGATGGTGACAAAGTCGAGGCAAGAGTTGAACTCTTTGTCCTTAAGTCGAATTTGCCCCGCAACGGTGCCTACGGATTTCGGCAATCGACTCCCAAGATACAACGGCTACACATGTGTTTGTAACACTCCAAAACACAAGTACAACGAACCAAATGTAGGCTTATGTACTCCACAGATGAAATGAAAGAAAATCAAAATAAATGAAATGATTTTGATTTTGGATAGAAGAGAGGATGAGAGACGTTTTTGCATATCAAATTGTGAGGAATAGGACACCCAAAGGGTCCTATTTATAGACCATGAAGGGGTGTGGACGAAATGGCGAAGTGGCAAACAATTTTGACTAAACGGATTGAGTCGAGCTTTTGAGTATTTGGCCGAATTCGATACGAACTTTAATCGATTTTCAATTCTCAATTTATTTAACCAATATCCAACACGGTTTAGGTATATGCTTCAAATTATGAATTTTTCATGCAAACCTATTCGACATCCTCAAACTAACATCACCAGCACCAAGAATGTCCATAGGTTCTCTATTAGCGAGATATATCTTTCCATAATTTCTAGCAAAATAGTTCTCCATAATCTCACGATGTGCAATGGTATAAAAAGAATCTGTTGAATCCGTCACCCAAGAATCAACAGATATGTTAATCGCAAGAGAGAAAGCATCCTGCTCCTCTTTAGTCACCACATTTGCTTTATAATTATTTTTTTTCTTCCTTCTTTTTCGGGCACGCTACAATTTTTCTTCATATGGCCAATCTTGTCACAATCCTAACATTCCACATTTTATCCTGACTTGGACATGCTTATACCAATTCCTCCATTTTTCACCGTTGCCTTTATTAGAATATTTGTCGAAACCCTACCCATATAATTGACATTTAAGGTAGAATTCAATATCATGAATTCTCTAAAATCGTTTCTACGGACTTCCTCATCAAGAACAGTATAACGAACATCGCTAAATTTTAGTTTCATATTGCCTTTAAAGGTAATTGCCGCATCTCTCATAGGATTCCAACTATTCTGTAGTGATGCCAATTGGATTATGACACATCTTATTATCAAATTTCATCTCAGCTGAGACCAATTGATAATTGTATTCAATTTATTGAGATGTCATATTACTGAAACATCTTCAACCATCTACAAACTAAATAAAATTTTCATCGAATGTAGCCCCCCGAGGCACAGCTTAATTGGTGAATCAATCAGCATTGTCTTGCTTCCAACGACAGGGTAGAGAGTTCGATTCCTAGTGGGAACTTGCGGCCAAAAAATTTGGCATGGAGCAATCACTGTGGAGGAGGGTCTCTTGTGCGCAGAAGTGTACAGGTAATGGGGGAAACTTGTGATCCAGTTGAGGCATAACCCGCGATTTACCCCCTCCAAGGTTCTAGGTGCATGGATCTTGGAGATCCAGAATTTAGTCTAGTATAAGTTGGGATGCCTGGATATCAAAAAAATAAAAAAATAAAAAAAAAATTCATCGAATGTAACTTTTAAACACAGATGGAGTCTTATACTTATTGGACAATACCTTTATCAAATCCACTTTGATTTTCTCTTCCTTTGCATTGGGACAAATGTTCTTCAACAGTGTCCACTGGACAACACCCAAGACCATACAATTAATGAGTTTTCATTCAAATTTTCTTCATTCCTTTTGACTTTTCATTCAAAAGAAGTTTACGGTATAGATATTTCTTGATCTTCATCATCTAGAAACTTAAAATCCATACCATCAAACTTGTACGTCCCCAGTGAAGTTCTTTCTTTGCTAACAATTGCTCTCAATCAAAACCAAGAGTTTTGATACCAATTGTTGAGAATTAGATTATTCTATTTCACAAAGTGCAATCAAATATGAGAAAAAAAATTAACACTCAAGAATGCACAATTATGGAAGTTCTTCTCAATGTTAAACATATCCTCTTTCATGATTTCAATAATTCAATATGATTAAAAGTAAAAATAAAAAATAAATCTAAGAGAAACCCGCACAACATATCTTCTCTAATCCCATCACTCTTCTTTTATGATGCTAATAATAAAACCCTAATGAAAGCTCCCCATATATAAGATAAATTTAAAACAAAATCGAAGTTGCAACTTAACACTACTCAGGTTAACAATACTCAAGTTATAATCATATTCGTGTGTTAAAATCGAGAAGTGGTTCAGTTCTCGGTTTTAATAGCAAACACTAAAAAAACAAAATCATTTTAACTCAAAAAATAAAATACACCAACTATTTTACTTAAAATATGTTACATCTATATAATGTTGTGTCTATAACGGTGTCCACCCTCTTAACATGTAGGGGGTCCACTTCAAATAAATTATAATTTATCCAAATTATCAGAAGTGGATCTCACTCCATGTGAGGGGGGTGGACATCGTTATGGACTCACTGATGTATGTGTAGCATCATCTATTTTATTTTCTCTTATGAATTTCACAATAGCACATCAATTTCATATTCAATTTAAGATAGTACAATTTATAACTTGGATAAATAGACTCATTAAATTATATATGTAATTCTAGATTAACAAAAGGATAGGGATTCTATCATACTCGCCACGTTAATATTTCCGACCCCAGAAGAACTCATCAAGTCAATAGTTAACAATCCGATGTAAACTATCACGTTTAGTTCAACTTGAAAAATATAAATCATTAGCATCAATATAAATCGTTTTAATAAATAATTATTGATAGTTTAGATATTAAACAATTTTATTTTGTACAGTTGATACGTAATTTACGTTGGTTAATGATTTAAGAATTTAATTCAAGGAATCTAATTGGACCGAACCAAAATAGGAACCAAATTTTTCGATTTTAATTCAATTCGATACTTAGAGATGGAACCAACTATTTCATTTTCAAAGTACACACTAGTACTCGGTTGGATTCGATTTTCTTCGGAAAAAATCTTGATCTTTCTCCTTCTCCTTCTCCTTCTCCTTCTCCCATAATTATATTTGTCCATTCACTCTGTAACACTGATTTTCCCTCTTATATGCGTGACCAACCGCAACATCAATCCACAAACTCACCTTACTAACACTGAGGAAGCACATCATATCTTTCGCGTTCGCTTTAATATCTCAAATGTGCAGTGAAGGAGGTGGCTTTGAAAAATATTATTGAGCTTCAGAAGTAGAGAAAATGATTAAGAATTGAAATTGTAAAAGTTTGAAGAAACTATTCTCCAAATAAATTAATATTTATTTTTTTAAAAGAGGATGGGTGTTTTTTTAATATATGTAGTGGTTAACGAGTTGATCAATTAGCTCATCTCATCGTCCTACTAAAATAGTCAAAGAGTTCTCATTCGGTGAAGTGGTTAAAAAGAGAAGCTCTTAACCCTTGTGAGAAAAACACTTACTTTAGTGCCTCTTGTTTTCTTGAGATTTCTTGGTTACTTGATTTGATTTCTAATTATTTGTTCGAATTTTGCTTTCTTCTCTTAGCGAAAGTCAATTCAGCTACTTGGATTTACAAATTCTTGTTCAGTTCGGCCAGATTCAAGGCAGCTTGGTGTATGAAATTTTGAGTCCGGCCGAAGTCTTGGGAACTTCCGTCTGCCTCTCCCAGCTGGGGTCAGTCTCAACTTTCTGCCATTCTTTTTTTCTTCTTTCTTCCCAGCTTCAATATAGCGAAGCAGGCTGCAGAAGGCAGGCAAGGATACTCCCAGCGAAGTCAACAACCGGATATTGCCTAATAAGGATGTTGACAACCAGTCAAAGGAGACTAACGATAAGGTTACTGGAGCTGGAAAAAAGGGCCAGCACACCAATGAGGAAAATGGCCAGAACGCCACCGGAGGAAATGGCCAGGACGTTGCTGGAAGCTCGACGCAGGATGACCTGAAACAGCAAAATGGTTTAGAGCGAGGGAGATTGGAACAAACACAGCAGGGAGTTCAACATGATAGTCCCTTCATAGAGGTTGTAAGGAAAAAGAAAGGAACGACTCAGCCCAATAGGCAAGGTCAGGGGGAACGGCAGATTAAATCAGGTTGCAATCACAAGCTTAAGGAAAAGATGGATGAACAACATATTACAGCTGTCAAGAAGGATAAAAATGATAATTGTATAAATCAATGTGATTCTCGAATCAAATACAAAGAGCAAAACAAAGAGAAGATGGAGAAGAACAACCAAAAAACTTGAG